TTATTATTATTATTATTATTATTATTATTATTATTTTTATTTCACTTCTTGTTTCGTACTTTGTGTTTTAGTTCTGCACTGGTGTAAGTACTCGGAAGCAAATTTTTGCTCTTTCCCTCCCTCCCTTCTCCTCCTTTCTTCCCTCCCTCCCTTCCTCTCCTTTCTTCCCTCCCTCCCTTCCTCTCCTTCCCTCCCTCCCTCCCGTTCACCTACCTCTACATACATCAGAGACATTACCTCCCATCGACTTTACAGAGATGGCCTCTCTCTCTCTCTCTCTCTCTCTCTCTTCTCTCTCTCTCTCTCTCTCTCTCTTCTCCTCTCTCTCTCTCTCTCTCTCTCTCTCTCTCTTTCTCTTTCTCTCACACCCCCAGCAAAAAAGGCACAGCAGTGCCAGCCCAAATGGCATCATTAAATCACTGAGTGCTGGCACCTGCCTCGCTATCATACTCGTTGTATCATCAAACGTTCCCTTCCCTCTTCATTCCTTTCCTCCTCCTTCCCCCCCCCCTCTCCTCTCCTCCTCCTCCCTTCACCCTTCCTCGTCGTCTATGTCTCTTTCCCGTCAACATTTATTTTAGTTTTCCATTATAACACACCACAACGCCAATAGATAAAATAATTAAAAAAAAGCGACAAAATAGTTTGTTTGAAATGTAAACAGAAACATCGGAGCCATACACCGTGTAACAGTGAAATAAACAGTGAGAAAGTCAACAGTAAATTAGCTCGTTTTAAGGCTCCTGTACAGTTCTCCCAAACCCACTGTTTGTGCAGTGTTTTAATACAGTGACAAAATTACTGTTTAAGCCTCTTGTAGCAGGCACCCATCGCACTACATTAGTAGCAGAGTATATACACTCACGGTGTATATACTCTGTGAAATATAAATATCTCAGTGTATATATGCCACTAGATATACACCTCTTAATACACATTCACCGATATATATATATATATATATATATATATATATATATATATATATATATATATTTATAAAACACAAAAACTGTTGTCCAGAGGGTTAAGGAAGGGTTGTTGAGGTGGTTCGGACATGTAGAGAGAATGGAGCGAAACAGAATAACTTCAAGAGTGTATCAGTCTGTAGTGGAAGGAAGGCGGGGTAGGGGTCGGCCTAAGGAAAGGTTGGAGGGGGGGGAAAGGAGGTTTTGTGTGAGAGGGGCTTGGACTTCCAGCAGGCATGCGTGAGCGTGTTGATTGGAGTGAATGGAGACGAATGGTTTTTAATACTTGACGTGCTGTTGGAGTGTGAGCTAAGTAACATTTATGAAGGGATTCAGGGAAACCGGCGGCGGGGATTTGGTCCTGGAGGGGGGGAAAGTACATTTCCCTGCCCTGAATGGGGGGGTTTTAAAATGTTGCAGTTTAAAAACTGTAGTGAAAACACCCTTCGGGAAAAGACAGTGAGGGAAAAGTGAATGAGGGTTTGAAAGTTTTTTCTTTTTTTTGGCCCCCTCCCTTTGGTGGAATCGGCAGGTTGTTTAATAAAAAAAAATAATAAAAAAACCACCAGATGTTCAGTAAAAGAAATCACATTTAATAAAAAATTTTTAAAAATATAATTATTTTTTTGAAGAAAAATGTTCCCATTTGAGTGTAACGAAGATTTACAGTTAAAAAAATTTTTGCCCTTTGTACTTAGTTACAGCTTTGTTACCTAGTTTACTCCTTTTTTAATCTAGTTTGCTTCTGTGTCCCTTCTAGTTTCCCTTCCCTTTGTGCTTTTAATTTGTTCCTTTTTTCCCCTAGTTCATCCTTTGTACTCTATTTTTACTTATTTGTCCCCCCTCGTTTACTTCTTTATGCCTATTTTTACCCCTTTGTACTGTGGTTTAAGCTTTTTTTTTCTATTTTACTTTTTTTACTAAAATTTTAGAGTTTCGTACTTTGTTTCCCTCCATTGTATTTCTAATTTGTTCCTTTGTACTCTAGTTTACTCCTTTGTACTCTAGTTTGGGAGCTTTGACTCTAGTTTATTCCTTTGTACTCTATTTTTACCCCTTTTTTAAAAATAGTTTATCCGTTTGTATTTTAAAAAATTTTTTCATTTTTTTACTATAGCTTAAATTAAAATTTTAATTTTTGCGTTTTAAAGGGGGGTTTGGGTTTTTCCAACATCGGTAAAATTTTTTGACCCCTTTTGACAAAAATACAGGCAATTTTATTTATATGTATATATTTTATATTTATTTATTTTTATATATAATATATTTTATATATAAAAATTTTTATATATTTTTTTATATTATATATTAAAATATATATGTGTCGAGGTCGGGGAAAGTTGGAAAACATTTTCCCGGGGGTTTTTCGAAAAATTGTGAAGGATTACGTGGGCCCTTCCCAGGGGGAACCGGGACTCTGAGTGTTGGTAAGGGGGTTAAAATTTTGTGGATAAGAAAAAGGGAAAACGGTGGGCCCTGTGTGTTTTGTGTCTTTGCGTGCGTTGGTGTGGTGTGGTGTGTGTGTGTGTGGGTTTTGTTTTTGGTGTGTGTGGGGTTTTGTGGGGTGTGTGTGTGTGTGTGTGTGTGGTGGTGTGTGTTTTTGTGTGTGTGTGTGTGTCTGTACTCGTCTATTGTACTCACCTATTTATGGTTGCAAGGGTCAAGTCATATCCTCGTGGCCCCGCCTCTTTACTGATTGCTACTAGGTCCTCGCTCCCCCTGCTCATGAGCTTCATCAAACCTCGTCTTAAAACTATGTATGGTTCCCGTGTGTGTGTGTGTGTGTGTGTGTGTGTGTTGTGTGTGTGTGTGTGTTGTGTGTGTGTGTGTGTGTGTGTGTGTGTGTGCTGTCAGAGGTAATCACTCCCTCAACCTTGAGGGACTGATTACCTCATTCTCCTCCTGTTCTTCAAGTTTCTCCTATGTATGGACTGATGAAGCCACTGTGTGGCGAAACGTTTCCTCAATAAAGATACCCAAGAGTTGCATATGTGTCTAATTTATCTCTATTTTTACCTTCATGGTTGGGTCTCACCTTTGCACTTCACCTGTCCACAACGGCCGTATTACAACCCAGGAGTCCCAAAGGCCTGTTGTCCTGGGTGTAAAGGGAGCAAAATAAACACAGCAGGAAAACTTTTGACTTATATTATCCTTCACCAATTTAGAACAGAAGTATATACACTATGTACACTATGTACAACAATAGGTATTAGTGCACTCCACGGTAAGCAAGGCAGAATAGAAGCCACTAGAGAATAGACCGTGCTTCAACCAGCTCTAGAATGGGAATGACAAGGGCAGACAGGAGAGTGGTACCCACATAATCTCTGCGATTGCCAAAACCATCTTCTTATTGGCTAGAACCTGGGTACTGGTTGAACGATGGGGCCCCATCGCCAACCCTTAGTTCCCTGGTGCGCTGGTTGGGGGAGATAGCCTGTAAATGAGGGGTGTGTACATGCGCCGAATAAAGGTTACGTACTCTTTTCATGCTACAGGCCGTCTCCACAGAGGCAGAGTCATCCGAAAAAAAAGAAGATACTTGAAGTTTTTCTTCTTTTATTGTGTACGTATATGTTTATATACCTATCCTTTGGGAAAACTTTTCCCTCAGTCTATCTGTTGCTGCTCTTCCAACATTGCATAGCTCCTGATGATGTACGGAGACTTGTGAAAGATCTTGAGCTGAAGGCTTTCATCAGTCCCTTTGCTAAGGGAGTGACCACCTCAGAACTACGTCTTCAAGGGTGATGGACTGATTACATCGTCTTTACATTCTACTGCTTCTGCTGCCTCCTCTGTACTTGCCTGAAGAAGCCTGCGGTGTAGGCGAAACCTTTCGGAATAAAGATACGTAATTGTTACATCATACTGACTCAGAGGTGTTCCAGGATAGTCCAACTTGCTCCACAGTTCTTTTCTTAAAATGCTGTGCATTCTACTGGCTTTCTCATTATTGCATTTCTAGTAAAGGCCGCGACTGGAAATAAAGAATCAAAATCTAAATCTAGTAAAGTCGACCTTGTACTACGTGAAGGTAATGATTATGTACGAATGAAAAAAAAGAGCACAATACCATGTGGTCAAAGTCGGACCGAAAAGTCGTTGTAAGTTTCGCCCATGTGCGGGTTATTTGTGTGATGTACCACGAATGTTACTATAGGTGGCGTGGTCCTGGATCAGCCTCCATTGAAGCTCAGGAAATCGTAATAAAACGATACCAAACAAATCAAGGAGGGAGGGGAGGGGGTGACGTGATCCCATGACAGATGGATCCTTAAAACTCACTCACTGACCTGTGACCTTCAGGATTCTCTCGTCGTGGGTTAAAAGTCACTCGTTCTGCGATTATTTCCTCCGCGAGGCGTTCACCAATAACCCGTCGCGCTTACAATTTAATTTATCATTTGTGTGTGGCAAGTCTGGTCGACTTTGTCTTACCATCATCGATTTTATTTTGCCTTTTTTGAAAGGGAAATCTAGTCAGGCGTACCAACCTTGGACGAATATATATTTGCTTACATTTTGGAGAAAAAGTAGTACTTTAGCATAAGCCTGTCACGTGTCTTTTCTGTTGTTATTAAAAGAGGAAAGTATAGGAAAATTTGCTTCACTTCTGTAATGGAAAAAATTATTTCCATGGAAGGGAAATTTAACTAAAGTTTCTCCCACCTTCTGTCGAAAAGAATTTTTTTTTCTTTGTTAAGAGGTTAAGTCTAGTCGAGTTCAGAGTTTTCGTCTTCTTTTTTTCCTTTAGGGAGAAACAATTCTTCCCGGAATTTACCCTACCCTGTAAAATAAATGAAAATTCCTTGAGAGAGTGGGGAAAAAATTCATGTCGAAAAGAATATACTTCTCTTTGGTTGACAGGTGGTCTAGCAGAGTTTTTTAACCCCTGACTGTGTCGACCGGAAGGTGCCGACTAGACCTCACCCTTGTCGAGGGTAGTGTCGACTAAGACACACCCTGTGTCGAGGGAGGTGTCAACTAGACTCACCCTATGTCGACGGAGGTGTCAACTAGACTCACCCTGTGCTTGTCGATGTGGAGTGGGCGTAGGTTGGGGTCGTACAGGAGCAACGACGGGTCGAGGTTAATGGGACTCTGGCGACGACCATTGGTGCATAACGACCACTCAGGGTTAATCAAGCCCCAGAATTGCGGACCTGCAGCCAGAAAGAAGAAGAATCATTTATATATATACGTATATATATATGTATATATATTTTTTTATTAACACATCGGCCGATTCCCACCAAGGCAGGGTGACCCGAAAAAGAAAAACTTTCACCATTCACTCCATCACTGTCTTGCCAGAGAGGTGCTTTGCACTACAGTTATAAAAATGCAACATTAACACCAACACACACACGACACACACACACACCACACACACACACACACACAAAGACGGGATTTTTCCAGAGATGGGACACAGACACAAGAGTCAAAATTGGAAGTTGAAGACTCAGAAAATCAAAGGGATGTTAGGAAGTATTTCTTCAATCATAGAGTAGTCAGGGGCCGTGGAATAGCCTAAAAGTGAAGTAGTGGAGGCGGGAACCATACATAGTTTTAAGGCGAGGTATGATAAAGCTCATGGAGGCAGGAGAGAGAGGACCTAGTAGCAATCATGAAGAGGCGGGGCCAGGAGCTATGGACCGACCCCCTGAAACCACAAATAGGTGAGTACGAAATAGGGAGTATACACACACACACACACACACACACACACGCCACACACACAACACACCAAAACCAAACATATATATATATATATATATATATATATATATATATATATATATATATATATATATATATATATATATAAATATATATAGTGATATATATATATGTCGTGCCGGAATATGTAAAACTGGTCAATTAGCAAAGAACATCATCTAAAATAAAGTCATTTCTGAAATTTGCTCTTATACGTTTAAAAAAGATATATTTTTTTTCATTTAATGTTATGTAAAAATTTATAATTTTGCACCAAAAGAATCTTAGAAAACTTAACCTAACCTTATTATAACAAGAACAATTTATTTTTAGCCTAACCCAACTAAATATATTTTAGATTTTCTTTACAATAAAAATATTAATACTAAACAAACACAGTGAAATATAATTTTTTTTCGTTAGGGTTCAGAATGATTTTGGCGAATTTACTGCATACACAAATTTTCACTTGTCCTATAGCAAGATGAGCGTTGCTATTTAAGCCAAGATCGCAAAAGTTTCTGCCTATTCGGCACGACATATTATATATATATATATATATATATATATATATATATAGTATATATATATTATATATAGATATATAATATATAATATATATATATATTATATATAATATATATATATATAGAGAGAGAGAGAGAGAGAGAGAGAGAGAGAGAGAGAGTTGTAAAAGTTTGGACTCACTGTAAATCATTCATAAACAGGAGGATAAAAAGGGTTGCGTGAACACGTGAGAAAGAAAAGGTGGAGGGAGTGAAGAGTGGAGGGAAGGAAGAAGTGGAGGGAAGGAATGAGTGGAGGGAGGGAAGAGTGGAGGGCGGGAAGAGTGGAGATATAAGGGAAGAGTGTAGGGAGTGGAAGAGTGAGGGAGGGAAAGAGTGGAGGGAAGGAAATAAGTGGAGGAAGGAAGAGTGGAGGGAGGGAAAGTAGGAGGGAGGGAAGAGTGGGGGAGGGAAGAGTGGAGGGAGGGAAGATGTGGAGGGAGGGAAGAGTGGAGGAAGGAAGAGTGGAGGAAGGGATGAGTGGAGGGAGGAAGAGTGGAGGGAGGGAAGAGTGGAGGGAGGAAGAGTGGAGGGAGGGAAGAGTGGAGGGAGGGAAGAGTGGAGGGAAGGAAGAGTGGAGGGAAGGAAGAGTGGAGGGAAGGAAGAGTGGGAGGGAGGGAAGAGTTGAGGGAGGGAAGAGTGGAGGAGGGAAAGTGGATAGGAGGGAAGAGTGGAGGGAGGGAAGAGTGGAGGGAAGGAAGAGGGAGGGAAGGAAGACGTGTGGAGGGATGGAAGAGTGAGGAGGGAAGAGTGGAGGGAGGGAGAGTGGAGGGAGGGAAGAGTGGAGGGAGGGAAGAGTGGAGGGAAGGAAGAGTGGAGGGAAGGAAGAGTGGAGGGAGGGAAGAGTGGAGGGAGGGAAGAGTGGAGGGAGGGAAGAGTGGAGGGAGGGAAGAGTGGAGGGAGGAAGAGTGGAGGGAAGGGAAGAGTGGAGGAAGGAGAGACGAGGGAAGAAGATGAGGGAGGAGAAGTGGAGGGAGGGAAAGTGGGAGGGAGGGAAGAGTGGAGGGAGGGCATCTGATGCGTTCTTTCCGCGATGCTTGCGTTCATCGAGTCTGGTCGGTCCGTCGATTCCGGCTGCCGCTAGCGTCTTTCCTCTATGTTTCTTTCCTGCTATGCTTTCTTTCCTTATACTTACTTTTCCTCTATTTCGGGTTTCTTTCCTCTATTCTTGTCTTTCCTCTAATTCGTCCTTCCTCGATTCTTTCTGTTCCTCTATTCTTGCGTTCCTCTATTCTTTCGTTCCTCTATGCTTCTTCCTCTATTCTTTCTTTCCTCTATTCTTTCTTTCGATTCTATGCTTTCTTTCTCTATTCTTTCCTTTCCTCTATTCATTCGTTCCTCTATTCTTTCTTTCCTCTATTCTTTCTTTCCTCTATTCCTTTCTTTCCTCTATGGCTTTCTTTCCTCTATTCTTTCGTTTCCTCTAGTCTTTTTTCCTCTATTCGTTCTTTTCCTCTATTCTTTCTTTACTCTCTATTACTTCCTCCTCGTATTCTTTCTTTCCTCTATTCTTTCCTTGCCTCGATTCTTTCTTTCATCTATTATTTCCTTCCTCTATTCTTTCATTTTATGTCCTCTATTCTTTGCTTTCCTCTATTTTTCTTTCCTCTATCTTTCTTTTCCTCTAGCTTTCTTTCCTCTATTCTTTCTTTTCCTCTGATTCTTTCTTTCCTCTATTCTGTCTTCCTCTATTCTTTCTTTTCCTCTATTCTTTCTTTCCTCCTCTCTTCTTCCTCTATTCTTTCCTTACCTCTATTCTTTCTTTCCTCTATTCTTTCTTCCTCTATTCTTTCCGTCCTCGATCCTTTCTTTCCTCTATTCCTTTCCTTCCTCAATATCTTTCTTTCATCTATTCTTTCCTTCCTGCTATTCTTTGCTTTCCTCTATTCTTCTTTCCTCTATTCTTTTCCTTCCGTCTATTCTTTCTTTCCTCTATTCTTTCTCTCCCTATTCTTTCTTTCCTCTATTCTGTCTTGTCCTCTATTCTGTCGGGCGCGTGTGCGAGGGGGGCGGGGTTGCGGGCCGAGGGCGAGTGGGGGGATCGGGGAGGGACGAGGTGGAGGGTCTTGCCTGCTATTCTTTCTTTCCTGTTTTCTGCTCATTTCATTCTTCCTGCTATTCTTTCCTTCCGTATATTTCTTTCTTTCCTGCTATTCTTTTTCCGTTGGCCTTCATATTCTTTCTTGCATCTATTCTTTTCCTTCTCTCTATTCTTTCTTTCTCTCTATCTTTCTTGCCTGCTATTGCTTTGCCTTCCTCTATTCTTTTCTTGTCCTTTGCTTGATTGCTTGTTCTTGTGTTCCTCTTATTGGCTTTTCTTTCGCTTGCGTATGTTGCTTGCTTTCCGCTATTCACTTTCTTTCCTCGTATTCTTTCTTTCCGCTATTCTATTCTTTTCCTGCTATTCTTTCTTTCCTCTATTTCTTTCTTTCCTCTATTCTCTTTCTTTCCTCTATTCCATTTTCTTTCCTTCTTTTCTTTCTTTCTCTATTCTTTCTTCCGTCTATTCTTTCCTTCCTCTATTCTTTCTTTTTCCTCTATCTTCTTTCCTCGATTCTTTCCTTCCCTCTATTCCTTTCTTTCCTCTTCTTTCCTTCCGCTATTCTTTCTTTCCTCTATTCTTGTCTTTCTCTATTCTTTCTTTCCTCTATTCTGTCTTTCCTCTATTCTTTTCCTGCCTCTATTCTTTCTTACCTCTATTTCTTTCCTTCCTCTATTCTTTCTTTCATCTATCTTCCTTCCTCTATTCTTTCTTTCCTCTATTCTTTCTTACTATATTCTTTCCCCTTCCTCTATTCTTTCTTTCCTCTATTTCTTTCTTTCCTCTATTCTTGCTTTCCTCTATTCTTTCTTTCCTATTTCTATTCTCTTCCCTGCTATTCTTTCTTTCCTCTATTCTTTCTTTCCTCTATTCTTTCTTTCCTCTATATCTTTCTTTCCTCTATCTTCTATTTCCTCTATTCTTTCTTTCCTCTTATTCTTTCCCTTCCCTCTGGATTCTTCCTTTCCTCTATTCTTTCTATCTCTATTCATTCTTTCCTCATTCTTTCTTTCCTTTTATTCTTTCTTGCCTCTATTCTTTCTTTCCTCTATTCTTTCCTTCCTCTATTCTTTCTGTCCTCTATTTGCTTTCCTTCCTCTATTCTTTCTTTCATCTATTCTTCCTTCCTCTATTCTTGCTTTACTTCTATGCTTTCTTTCCTCTATTCTTTCGTTCCTCTATTCTTTCCTTCCTCTATTCTTTCTTACCTCTATTCTTTCCTTCCTCTATTCTTTCTTTCTCTATCTTTCTTTCCTCTATCGCTTCTTTCCTCTATACTTTCCTTGCTCTATCTTTCTTTCCTCTATTCTTTCCTTCCCTCTATTCTTTCTTCCTCTATTCTTTCGTTCCTCTTATTCCTTTCCTTCCATCTATTCTTTCTTTCCTCTATTTCTTTCCTTCTCTATTCTTTCTTTCCGCTATTGCTTTCTTCCTCTTATTCTTTCTTTCCACTATTCTTTCCTTCCTCTGATTCTTTCTTTCCTCTATTCTTTCTTTCCTCTCTTCTTTCTTTCCTCTATCTTTCCTTCCTCTATTCTTTCTTTCCTCTATTCTTTCCTTCCATCGTATTTCTTTCTTTCCTCTATTCGTTTCCTTCCTCTATTCTTTCTTTCCTCTATTTCTTTCTTTCCTCTATTCTTCCTTCCTCTATTCTTCTTTCCCTCTATCTTTCGCTTCCTCTATTCTTTGCTTTCCTCTAGTCTTTCCTTCCTCTGATTCGTACTTTCCCTATACTTTCTTTCCTCTATCTTTCTTTCCTGCTATCTTTCCCTCCTCTAGGCGGTCGTTTCCTTCGTAGTGCTTTCTTTCCTCTATTCTTTCTTTCCTCG